TTTTGAAACCTCAAAGCCCACCCCCAGGGACACACCTCCGCCGGCAAGGCCACATGTCCCACCGACTGGGAAACAGGCCTTCATACATGTGAGCCTGTGGGGGTCTTCATACATGTGAGCCTGTGGGAGCCATTCATACATGTGAGCCTGTGGGGGCCTTCATACATGTGAGCCTGTGGGAGCCATTCATGCATGTGAGCCCGTGGGGGCCTTCATACATGTGAGCCTGTGGGGGCCTTCATACATGTGGGCCTGGGGGGGGCTTCATACATGTGAGTCTATGGGGGCCATTCCCACTCAAACCACCACAGTTCTCTACAGCGAAGTGGGAAAAACCCAGGTATGGGCTTCAGATGCTATCTGATGACATTCTTTTATTCTGAGATTTATTGATTTTGTTTTATGCGTGTGAGTGTTTTGCTGGTTTGTATGTATGTATGGCACATGTGAACCTACTGCCTACAAAGGTTAGAAATCTCTAGAACTGGAGTCACAGGTTCTGGGAATTGAACCCAGGTCCTCTGCAAAGGCAGCAAGTGCCCTGAACTACTGATCCATCTTTCCATCTTCCCAGGTCCTGATGATAATATTTTTAAATACATGTTTATAATATAGCTTGTTCCTGTATATTACCTTCTCGTGTCCCCCTCTAATGTCCTCTGAATGTCTTCTCAACAAATCCCCGCCTACTTTCATACTGTGTGTGTGTGTGTCTTGCGTGTCTGGGTGTGTCTGTGTGTGTCTGCATGTCTGTGCGTGTCTGTGTCTGTGTGTCTGTCTGTGTCTGTGTGTCTGTGTCCATGTCTCTGTGTGTGTGACAGAAAGGCAGGAAAAGACTGAGTTTAGCTAGTGTTGCTCGCACAAGCATGGGTGTGAAGCTAGGACTGAAGCACCGACAACCACAAACAGCTACCACTGATGAGCAATGGCCCCTCCCACCGCAGCCGCTGACCACCAGCAGGTCCCCAGGGGCCTTTCTCCCTTTTAAGTTGATTGGCTCCGGTGTTTTGCCTCGGCACTGGGAAGTGAACACGCATAGTAACTGCAAACAAAGATGACTTAAGTACCATTCACTGTGCCTAATTTGAGGTGCTGTACCTGCTTTTGGTTTGGGTATTGAAGACGGAGCCAAGGTTCTTGTACATACACAGGCTAGTGCTCTGCCACTGAGCTCGGCCCCAGGCCCGGTGTGGTACTTTTATGTGGTAACAACAGTCGGCTTGTTGCCATCTGTGTTGTTCCACCTGATGAGAGCAGTCGGGAGGAGCAGCAGTGCACGTGTTGACTGAGGTAGCATCGGTGAGTGCCCAGTTCTGAAGACTCATGCACACTTAACAATTTAACTATGTCAATTACAGATCAATAATTATGTTCATATGTATTACAGAGACCTACCTAGACCCATCAAAGCAGGATCTCCAGGTATCAAATCCAGGAATTTGGTTTTTGTTTAAACACGCCTATAGCGCCAGCTATGTACTTAGATCAAAACACATGAAGGGTTTTGAGACAGTGGCAAGAACAGAGACTTAGCCATGCCTGCCACATGCCTGTATTCCCAGCACTCAGGAGTCTGTCAGGAAGACTGCAGCTTCTGGGCAAGTTGAGCTATTCAGCATGACCCTTAGGGTAGAGCGTTGGGGTACACAAGGACCCCTCTAGGTCCTTACAACTGCACACAGGCTGTGCCGCCACTGGTCTTGCTCCCTGAAGTTTGGGATGCTCCACCTCACGGAGCAGGCCATAAAGTGGACGTACCAAGTCTATTGTTAGGCGGAGGATAGGGGTGTGTGTGTGGTATGTGTGTGCCAATGCAGACACTTGCTTGCTGCAGCGATTGTATGGAAGTCAGAGGACAACGTCCACAAGTCAGACTTGCCTTCCACCTGGGTTTGAGGCAAGTCCTCTCGTTTCTGCTCTGAGCTGGCCCATGATCCTCTCCTGTTTCTGCTCTGAGCTGGCCCATGATCCTCTCCTGTTTCCTCTCTGTGGCATGCTGTGCTGGCTGGCCCATGATTGTTGGTGCGGCTCTCCTGTCTCCAACTCCCATCTTGCTATAGGAGTGCTAGGATTACAGATGTGTGCCACCACATCTGGCTTTTACCCAAACTCCTGGGATCAAACTCAGGTCCTAAGACCTGTGTAACAAGTGCTTTACCCACTGAGTCATCTCATGTCTAGTCAAACAGGGAACTAGAGAGGAGAAGCAGACATGTCATAAGGTGTCTTCTCCCTGCAAGGACCACTAAGTGTGTTTTTTTAATGTTTCTATGCGTGATGTATACATATGTATGTAAACATGTATACATGTGTGTGACGACCCCAGATGTTAATACTAGCCTTCTACCTCATTTGAGACAAGGTCTCTCGTTCAGAACTGTTATATGCTAGACTAGCTGGCCCGTGACCATCCGGCCGTCATAGGTGTGCTGGAGTTACAAGCATGTACTACCACTTTGGCTTTCCCTGAGTTCTGGGGATTTGAACTCAGGTCCTCATGCTTTCACGGTGATCTCTTTATGCCCTGAGTCATCTCCCCAGCCCAACACTGTAGCTTTAATCAGAAAACTGCTGTGGAGTCCCCCAGCCTGGGACTGAGTCATCTCTGGAACTGTGGGCTCTCAGTGACAGGAGACAGGCTGAGCGACCCTAGCTCAGTCCCTCTTCTGGCTGACTCCCGTGGAGCAAGAAGTTAAAGACACTAGGCAGGGATAGGCAGTGGCCCTCAGAATCTCTATGAGCTCATTGCTTGTCACCACCTAAATCTGGGGCAATGCAGCCACTGAGACCTTAGCCTTCCTGCTCCTAGGCACTGGCCCCCTGTGGTTCCCATCTCTTCCTGTGAGGATTGGTTTCCCACTACCTCGGCCGCTCTGCATCTGCGTCATGGCCTCTTTATTCAAAGTCTGGCCCTCCAGTCATGGTTACTGAGAAGGCTTCGCATTTCCAGGTAGCATGCTCTCCTTGCCCCCCAAAACATATCTCAGATTATCAAAGCAGCCCTCAAGCAGAGCAGGGGCTTTCTCCTGAGGGCATCGGCCGCACACAGCTGATCCCCAGCTCCATCACACATGCCAGTGAAGGAGGCTCAAGCGCACCACATCCCTGGCCACTTGACCCCGACCTTTGGAACCAGCTTCTCTACCCCAGAGAAATCCCTTTGGTTCTTGTCTCTGGGACTCATCATCTGTCAATCAAATGTGTCAATCAAATGCAGCCCTCCGAGAGCAGGGCTGTTCCATCAAAGTGGCTATGCTGATAGGAACGTTCCGCGTCTGTGTTGTCCAGTGGAGGAGGGTGTGGCCATCGAGCCATTTGGACTGTGGTCAGTGTGCTTGACCATGAGTAAGCGTGGTATGAGATCAGAGTAGAGATACCCCATTAGAGCAAGAATGGGAAATCTAACCGGGAGGTGGTGGCGCCCTCCTTTAGTCCCAGCCCTGAGAGGCAGAGGCAGTCGGATCTCTATGAGTTTGAGGCCAGCCTGGTCTACAGACCTGGTTTACAGAGCAAGTTCTAGGACAGCCAGGGCTACACAGAGCCACCCTGTCTTGAAAAACCAGAAAGAGAAAAAGGATGGGGAGTCTAACTCCTAGCTACACAGCGCAGAATCCTGACCGCAAGTTCCCTCTGTGTGTCCTTTGACACGTCACATCTTCCTTTGGGCCTCCGATTTCCCAAACAGACAATGAAAGTCCTGGCTGACTCGAGATTAGTGGGTTTTGGTTGAGCACCTACGAAAATGGATGCTCGGGAGGACGGCTGGGCTGATAGTTTATCATGTGCTCAATCACTAACATGCTCAAGGCCCTGGGCTCCATACCTGGCTTTGCAACAAGCAAAACTAGACGGCTAGCCCCGTGCTCAGACCGTGCAAGCGAGCAGATGGGATCAAGGCTTTGTGTTTCCAACCTGATGCTTGGTACTGTTACTGCTGAAGGTTCCCAGACATTTTGAGACACCCCCACCCCCGATCCAGATGCCCACTTAGGATCTTATCAGCTTCTACTCAAGCAGCAAAGCTTCATGTTGGCTGTCCCTACTGTAGTGGTGAACAGGTGAAGACCCGGGAATGCAGAGGGTTCTGCAGGGGACACTGAGTCACCGCCTGTACCGGGAATGCAGTGGGAATTCTGCAGGGGACACCGAGTCACCGCCTGTACCGGGAGTGCAGTGGGAATTCTGCAGAGGACACCGAGTCACCGCCTGTACTGGGAATGCAGTGGGAATTCTGCAGGGGACACCGAGTCACCGCCTGTACCGGGAGTGCAGTGGGAATTCTGCAGGGGACACTGAGTTACAGCCCTATACTGGGAATGCAGTGGGAATTCTGCAGGGGACACCGAGTTACCGCCCTGTACTGGGCCTGACATTGAGTGCCCTTGAGACCCAGCCACTACCCAGAAGGACAGTGAAGTACAACCTGGAATCTGGGTTATACTATAAGCAGCTGTGCAGCCCTGAGCAAGTGACTAAATGACTCCCTGCCTCAGTTTCCCATCTTATATACCAAAAGGACGTTGGTCATGCTTGTGACCTGGACTAAAGGAAATGTTTAGCGGATGCCTGCTGCTGCTGCGATGAATTTCTGTCTGTCTAGTGCAGGGAAATAACAGAACACTAGCTATTTCCAGAACATTCCCATTCAGCAACACCATCCAATCTGGATTCCCACCCTCTGATTCCAATGCCATCACAAACTCCAAACCAGATGATGAGATCGTGTCGATATAATTTATTAAATAGATCCTGAGGGCTCCTCCTAGGAACGTGAGCAACTCAGTACATAAATACCAATAAATAAATAAAGCTGCCACTTCCAGCCCCTGCAAGGGCGGAAGAATAAGGTTTCAGTGTACAGAATAAAAATATCATAAATAACAAGGCTTGTCACAATGGCGCTATCTCTTTCAAGTTAATTCTTGTGGGGCAGGTCCAGCCCTCCGAGGACAGGAAGGGCTGAGGATGCGGGGATTCTCCCCTAGAGCTCCGCCCCTCACTCAGCATATCCTGTCCTTAGCCTGCAGTTTTTCCATGCAGTCTGAGAACTGTTTCAAAACGGTCAGTTTGAAGCTTTTACGCTCATAGAATTTATCAGGCCCAGAGACGCTCGGTTTCGATGAATTGGAACACCTGGCGTCGGGGCACGTGATATCGCTGAGTCGTTTTGTGACTCTGGAGGTGTCTACTCTGTTCTCGCTCAGCCTTCTGACCTCCTCTAGGTAGGCCTCGATGATGGAGATGTTGGTGGACGCTCCGCAGCCCAGGGTGAAGCATGGCAGCTGGAGGGACTCGTCTATTGGTACCTCGCCCGAGCTGTTTTTCTTCAGCAGAGAGAGGGAAAGATTTGAAATAGTGTGAGAATCAGGTTTGCGATGGCCTGGGGATCTGAGCAGCCTGTTCCCAGGCTTCCTCCGTGTCGAGCCTGACTCAGACATCAGCTCATTGGCACAGCATCCCTGTGAGCTCGGGTCTGCAGGAATCTAAGGCACTGCTGGTTTATGAGCTGGAAGACGTGGCGCACCCACCCAGGTCGGCCATGTTAATGCTCCTGCCTACCTGGCTGAAGCCACCCAGTCTTCCGCAACCTGCGCTTAGATGCTCAGAGGCAAAGGAGAAAGGGGGCTTATCTGAGTTTCCACGCAACTCCCTCCTCTTCGTGCCTCCGTGTGAAGGCCACTGGTTTATGTGACCTGCACAAGCCTCTGAGAAGCTAGGGAGTTTCTCAAACAACCAAGGACTCCAAGTCCTTCCTTACCCTCCCTCTTCCTCAAAACTGAGAGCTTTTTGGTAAAACCAAATTGCTAAGACCACAGCAGCCTCACCTGGCTCAGCACCTCTACCTTTGAGTCTATTTAAGCCGAGGACAAAGCTTCAATGCCAGGGTGGAAGACAAGGTCAGTGCTAATCTCAATGCCATTTCCTGACTGGGCGTTGTTTATCTGAAGCTATCGAGAGGTCTGGAGGAAGTGCGGTATTTGCACTTACTGGCCCTTGTGCTATCCCCCTGCCAGCATCTGCCGGGGAAGAGGGCCTTCCAGCAAGTTCCAACAGCACGCAGATAGTTACCTAGTTAGTTAACTGCTATGAACTAGCCAGAGGCACCAGCCACCCAAGGGAGGATTTTCTCAATCTGCTTCCCCCAGAACGTCTTTTGCTGCTCACAGGGGATTCCTGACTCGAGCCGGCCCATCTCTGAAGCTGTGCTTCCAGCAAGAACACTGTCTGTGGGCCGGTGAGCCAGGTAGAGGTGAGATAAGGAAGGCTGTGAGCAGGGCACACATCCTGTCGTCTGGGGGAAGTGGCTGGTGTCTGGGTCCCTGCACTAGTCTGCCTCTGCCTTCTTTCTCTGTTACTGCATTGACACCCCTCAGAAGCATCCCCACAGCAGCCTGTCTGGTTCTTTCCCATCCCACCCTGGCTGCCTTAGCTGGTTTCACATCGGGAAAGAATAGCCATTCTGGAAAGCAAAATAAGGCATTTAAAGAAGTGGTTTGGAAGAGAAATCTCAAGGGCACTTACATAGTCTTCATACAGTTCCTTAGATTCAAGTTTCAAGTATTTAAGTATAGTTTTTATCATGTCTGCTGTAGGTGCACTGTTTGTCGTAGGTGCACCAAAGGATGGACCGCAGGTGGCCAGCAAGGTTCCCATACAGCAGAGCAGCACCCAGGCAGGCTTCGTTGGTCCTGGAGAAAGAGAGGGATGCCGTGAGGGTCATGGGTCAGCTCTGCCTGCTGTAGCTGTTCCTGTCTCATTCCCCCGAGAGCCACAGAGCTGAAGCCATGGGAGCTACAGAACCGGTGGTACCTGTGTGGAAGATCATGGTGACGGCCAGAGAGTGAATAAAGCCTGCTTCGCTTGTGGCCTCTGGAGCTTGATGTGTTCGCCATGGCCACCAGGCAGTATATAAAGAGCCGGCGTGAGGGAGATCACAGGCCCGCCCATGGCGAAATCATTGCTCAGCTTTTCTCCAGAAAACACTTTCAAAGCGCTGCCAGCCACGCTCGGGGAAAGCGGGGCTGGGAGGAAGTGCTGAGGTTACCCTCAAGGCAGGCAGAGACTTGAGTCACAGCCATACACGTGCGTACACACACAGAGATACACACACACACCACACAGGAAGGCACATGCATCTTGGGCATCTCTTTCTTCTTGGAAAGTGCTTGTTGGCTTAATGAGAGGAAATTTCGGAGCCCAGAGTTGAAGAGTACAACCACCGAGGAAGAAGTGGCTTAGCGGGGGCTGAGGGCCATTGCCCTGCAGGGAATTTCTGGGAGGCCATGTGTAGGCACAGAGTCACGGTGAAATCCGCAGCGCGATCCATCTGTGGGCATTCCTGACGCACATCCACGCCAGTGAACGGGGGATGGCTCCGATCAGCGTAGGTGTGCGGGCAAAGATTCCACGCTACGAGGCTTGCTCGTGTCCCTGGATTCTCACCTGTGTCTTCATGACTTCTAGCTCTAGAACCAAAGCCAGCTCAAGAGTTATTTGGTGATGGCGTCTTCCATTTCCCAAGTAATGGGAGTAAGGAGGGTGGCTAATTGTTGGAACACAGCGAGATGGCACACACCTGTCACTTAGCGCTCAGGAGGCTGAGACGAGAGAGTCACAAATTCAAAGCCAGTTTTGACCTTATAGAAAATCACTGTCTGAAAAAGAAACTATTTTTTTTTTGAGCCTTGAAGAAACATTTACTACTGAATTTCAAATCACACATGCAAAGTAGGTAAGACATTCTCTGTCACCTTTAGGATCAACATATCTTTAACTATTTTTTAAAAATGAAAGTTATTCATGGGTTGGAGAAATGGCCCAGTGGTTAAGAGCACTGGCTGCTCTTTCAGAGGACCTGGGTTTGATTCCCAGCTCCCACATGGCAGCTCACAACCATCTTTGACTCCAGTTCCAGGGGAATCCGGTGCCCTCGTTTGGCCTCCGTGGATACCAGGCATGCACATGGTGCACAAATATACATGCAGGTAAAACACCCGTTCATGCTGGGCGGTGGTGGAGCGCACCTTTAATCCCAACATTTGAGAGTCAGAGGCAGGCGGATATCAGTGAGTTCGAGGCCAGCCTGGTCTACTGGTGAATTTCAGGACAGCCAGAACTGTTACACAGAGAAACCGTCTGGAAAAACCGCAAAACAACAACAAACCTACCCAAACACATAAAATGCTTTTAAATAAAAACAGAGTTATTCAGTCAGGCATGGTAGCTCACATGTGTAATCCCAGCATTCAGGAAGCAGAAGAGAAAGGATTGATAAAAATTTGGGACTGGCCTTGTCTACACAGTGAGCTGCAGCCCAGGCAGGGCAGAGTGAGACTGTAAGTCAAAGAAGAAAGTTCTTTGTTAGGCCAGGTTTATCCATCAATGGTGGAGACGTCCCTCACATGCCCAAAGCCCTAATTCAATACCCAGTGTTTTAAAAAATATTATTGGAATCATTCTTTTTGTTAAGATGTGTGTGTGTGTGCGTGTGTGCGTGTGTGTGTGTGTGCGTGTGCGTGTGCGTGTGTGTGTGTGTGTTTTGCCAGTGCCTGTGGAGGCCAGAAGAAGGCATCCGTTCTCCTGGAGCTGGAGTTACTGGTGGTTGTGAGCTGCCCAGCGTGGGCACTGGGAACTGAACTGAACTCAGGTTCTCTATGAGAGAAGCGAAGGCCGAGGCGTCTCTCTAGCTTCCCGTTTATTCTTCTTTGTGTTTGAAGATTCGGGGTCTGATCATTTATTTGTTACTCCTTTTGGAGGTTTGGGCTTTTTTATTTTGTTTTTGTTTTTGGTTGGTTTGGTTTTGAGTTTTTTCGGACAGAGTCTCTCTGTGTAGTCCTGGCTGTCCTGGAACTCAGTACTTAGATCAGGCTGACCTTGAACTCACAGAGTCCCTTCCCTCCCCAGTGCTGGGATTAAAGGTGTGGGTGTGGGTGGGACACCGGTCCCTGCTGTGTGTCACTCTTAAAGGCTAGTTGACTGGAGTCAGATTTAGAAGTAGAAGCTCTCAGGAAGGATAGCCTCCATCTCTTGGTAATCTGTTCTTGGTATTTTCTTTGGCTTCCTTCGTTCTCTTGATCAAAAATTTAGCATCTTCGGCAGCCTCCTTATTTTTCTATGTATGTTGTTTCTTCAGAGCAATGTCAGCATCTGTGTTACAGGACACATGGAGGAACAACACAGTAGAGCTTGGCTGCACTGGTCCTGGGCCTCTCACTTTCCTTGTTTAAGGGCTTCTGACAAGATATCCGTGGACATCGTCTCCTTTAGAGATGGAAAAGCTTTTGGATTCTGCTGCCTCTTTTGAACCCAATGCTGAGGCACACAGTAGAATCTGTCAGCCCAGGGATGATCCTTCTCCCTCTTTTACAACAGCCAAGGTGAGACACTCAGATTGGCACCCACACGGCACCCTGAACAGACGGTGCTTCCGCCCTCCAGTTCTCCTGGATCCACAACGAGAATGCTTCTCTCTCACCAGGCAGTAACAATGTGTGCCTTTGATCCCAGCAGAACCGGGCAGAAGTAGAGAAGTGGGTGAATCTCTGAGTTCAAGACTAGCCTGGTCTACAGAGCGAGTTCTAGGACAGCCAGGGCTACACAGAGAAACCTTGTCTCAGAAAAGAAAGAAAGAAAGAAAGAGAGAGAGAGAAAGAAAAGAAAGAATAAAGAAAGGAGACGAAGGGGAAGAAGAGGAAGAGGAGAAAGAGGCCCCCTTCACTCAACAGCAGAAGCACTGCAGCAGGTGCTGTTTGTAAAGTCTTTATTCATTAAAATACATTTGAAATGCCACCACACTTCTTCTTTTTGTCTAATAAAAAAGAAGGCTACAACTAATACAAGAAAACTATATAGAATAAGTACAATGACTGCATACACAATATATATAGGCAATAAATACATCAACAATGTCTAGTCCATTTGCGTTTGACAAATTCAGAGAAAATACTCCATATCCATCCGATCTCTGAGTCCAAAGACTTGTACCTAATTTACTTTATATCTTAACTTGCTTTCTGCATCAGGCAAACAAGGGAAGCAATAATTCTCTAGTCTTCAACTCCCTCAGAGACCCGAGAAGAAAATGATGTTAACTGAGTAAGCAGGAAGTGCGAACAAGCGACTTCTAAAAACTGCGAGTAACAACGACAGAAGCATCTGGCTTGTTTGTGGTTCCCACCGCCCATCTGGACCACATGAGCCTTCCACTCTCCACCAGCGCATCAGCAGCTGCTGCTGCTGCTGCTGCGGCCACGAGCTTCTGGGCTTCTCATAGAAAGTATACAATTTGCATTCATCTTCCACTTCAATGAGTTTCTGGCAGCCGTGGCTGGGAAGGTGACATGCAGCTTCAACTTGGCACGGCGGATCCCCTAGGGGGTGCCATGAAAGAGAGCCGATAGAGCTCCCAATTTATTTATTTGTTGTTTTATTTTTTTTTTCAAAACAGGGTTTCTCTGTTTTGAAATCACTCAGTAGACCAGGCTGGCCTTGAACTCAGAGAGATCCGCCTGCCTCTGACTCCTGAGTGCTGGGATTAAAAGCGTGCGCCACCACCACCTGGCCCCAATTTACTCTTATTTTGAGTGTTAACTGTGTTCTCTTGGGGTCCTCGGGAAGAATCTCAACCAAGCCCCTGTCCTTAAGGACCTAACATCCCAGAGGGATGTTTAGAAAGGGACAGGTTTAGAAAGCGCTCGCAAATTAGAAAACACCCAGCAACAACAAAATTACCAGTAACTGCCACACGGCTGGCTAGAGAGTGGTGTGTTCGATCCCCTAAGTCAAGGGATCAGACATTGACACTGAAGGCAGGGCTTGATGGCTCACGGACAGTTTGAAGCCAACCTGTATTACATAGCAAGTTTCAGGTTAGCCTGGGCTACAGCGTGAGAGCATCTTTAAAAAAGCTGACTTAGCAATTAACTAATTGGTTGATTAAGACTGAGACCTGGCCGGGCAGTGGTGGCGCACGCCTTTATTGCCAGCACTTAGGAGGCAGAGGCAGGTGGATCTCTGTGAGTTCTAGGTCAGCCTGCTCCACAGAGCGAGTTCCAGGACAGGCTCCAAAGCTACAGAGAAATTCTGTCTAGAGAGAGAGAGAGAGAGAGAGAGAAAGAAAGAAAGAAAGAAAGGAAGGAAGGAAGGAAGGAAGGAAGGAAGGAAGGAAGGAAGGAAGGAAGGAAGGAAGGACTGCGACCTGGAGAATAAGAATCGCTGTAGGTCAGTCTGGGGACATTGTTCCAGGTAGAGAACAGAGAGCTGCAGAAACCAACTTGATCTTCTTCCAAGGCCATGGTATCTGGAGTGAGGAGGAAGAGGAAGAGGAAGAGAAAGAGGAAGAGGAAGAGGGTGGTGGGAATGTGAGCAGAGGCCCAACATGAAGGACCTCGAGGCCTTGATAAAAAACGGGTAAGAGGAATGAGACACCACCAGTTAGCTTTAGGTAAGGACATAGAGGATCCAGTGTGCTTCTGAAAAGAGAGAAATAATAGGCCACTGAGTCAACAGAGGAGCGGGACTCAAGATGGAGGCGTGAAGCAAAAAAGGTTACACAGGTGTCCAGGTGGGAGGACAGAAGAGCCTGGACTCCTGGGAGCGGGATAGATGGAGAGATGGTGTCAGAATTTGGCACTAATGCAGAGATGAATCAGAGGGTCGGATCAAGGATAACTTCCGGGGTTGTGAGCATAGGAGCCAGCCATGATAAGCTAAAATTAGAAACAGACCATCCAAAGGAAGTTCTTTACTTCCAACCATTATCACCTTCTAGTGTAGGACTCAGCCACCAGTAAGTTTAATAGAGGCCCGAGTCTCCGTATATCCTTT